AAATGGAACATATTAATTCTTTGGGGAAATCTCCTTAGTCAGACAAAAAGAAATCTTTTCAGCTTTCCAGATACACGCTCTGTTCCCAGTAACATCAGAGTGAAAGAAGAATCTGCAATACCTTGATCTGGAGGACACAGTTTCACTGCAACTGCAAGGTTTATCATGGATAAATAACTTCTGCAATGCAGCTGCTAAAGCTTTCAGATTTAGACATGTTTATTAATGAAAATTAATGAGAAAAGAAAGAAACAGTCAGCCAGGCAAGATGCCCCTGTAACTCTATTGTCATCATTAGGTGAATATAGTATATACCAAATATTTATGCTTCTATATGATTCAAGATCACAGAAAATAAATATCACTTTTATGTGTTTTATTTTCTTTGGAGAAGAAAGTAGAGGAGAGTGTGAGTCATAGTGGAAGAATAAAATCCATTTATTTTCTGACAAAAGCTGCTTGTTTTGTCAGAGAAGGATCCTAGCGTTAACTTCAGTTTACTGATAAGCTCTGGAGCCTGACTGGCCTCAAAAAGAAGTGATGGCCTGCCAGTCCCCAGTCTGTACCTGTCTGGTGACCCATGGCCAGAAGCCAAAKCGTATTTCTTACTCCWGCTGTGYRTGAGATAATCAGTGTTCTAGCAGGRTCTGAATGCAGGCTGTTAGTGCACCCTTGCAAGGATTTCTGGTGAGCAGAGTTGTGACCCTTCGCACCGTAACAAATCCTGCCAGATGCAGCCTGACTTCTGATCACAGGGCTGGTCTGAGGAATCTGGGAAGGTTAACATGAATATGTATTAGTGTATGACCAATGCTATTCGCCTGCTTTTTTTAAAAAAAACCCACCATATATTCTGTTATGGTCAGATTTAGAGGGTTCTGTCCTTAGGTAATTGAGAAGGGAAGTGCCATGGTTGTGTGGGCTCCTGAGGAGGTGGTCAGCAAATGTTTTCTCCTTTTTGCACTTTGCTGTGCCCTTCAGAGTGTAGAAGAGATAGAAAAGGTACAAGATACAGGGTCTGATGATTCTCTGCTCACAAGAGGTAGTGGAGGATCAGGAACTGTCACTTCGTATCCAACCACCCTGAGGTAGGCAGGCTCTCTTTACAGCTACCAACCTCAAAACATTTGTTGTCCTGCCCATGGCAGGAGGGATTGACTAGATGATCTTTAAAGGTCCCTTCCAACMCAAACTATTCTATCCTTCTATGACTATGATTTTCCAAAAGARAGATATTCATATGAAGGTGCTGAAGCCTGAGAGGTGACAAATGACAGAAGATTTTATTTATGTCCTGATGAAATTAAAATTCTTTTTAAAATCTTTGTATATCATTCCTTATAGAACTTCATAGCATAGGGAAGTATCTGACATTTTTGTGAAGTTTTCATATGTGTTTTGTGTTACTTCCAAGACTTTAGAGATAAACTTTAAAGATGTCCTACCTACGTAAACTCCAAACCAAAATGCTATGCTGTTTTCCAGACAGTAAGCTGCTCTTTTCTGAGCAGAGATCTCATAGCATTTATTCAAAAGAGTAACCACCTAAATGCTTGTAGATTAATGTAGAAGGCTGGATTAGAGATTTAGGAATCAAAGGTCTATATGGTCTCTGCAATCCAGACACCTGTGCCTGTCATCTTTTTGAAAGATCAAATAATATTCTTGACTGCTCTAACAAGGACCACAGTCACCCTGAGATGTTTAAGAGTAGAGTCAAATTTGTTATTCTACTAAACAGATTTTTGTTTGTTTGTTTGTTTTCCTTGATATATTTCAAAAAGAAAAGTCCTTAGGGTTACTGTTCAATATTAAACCAAGAACTGTGTAAGATGGATGAGCTCTGAAATTCCAGTTCCTTCAACATTATGGAGGATGAAAAAGAAGTTGACAACACAGGGCATACAGGTTATCTCTTCTGTAACTCTGTATATGGAGTAGCAGCAGCCATGTTCTGTCTTAGTTTGTGAGACAATAATAAAAGTAGGATGCTATTCTTATGGTGAAATGTAACAGACATTTTAAAAATAAAATATTCTTTCTTTCAGAAAAACCCTCTTAGCTGTTATTTTGGTAATTGTATTCAGGTAATACTGAGAGCAAGAACAGAACAGTGAATTCCAAATGTCACTTCCAGTTACTAGCCTTATAGCCTACTCCTTTCTTTAGCTGAGATTCCTATATATCATTTCTGTACAGATTTATGAATGTGCTACTATTTCCTGTTCAGCACTATTAAAGATGGTGTTAATAGCTATTCTCAGTTCTTTGTGTCAAAAGATCTTGCTTCCAGTATTTAATAATTTTCTTATTGCTACTCAGTATGACTGGCAGTTTTAATGTCAGACATATTTATTAGACAAAAATTTTGAATAAACTGTGTCTAAACAATTTTTGCTGCTTCTGTGAATGAGATTAAGGGTCAAATGCATTGTTTTGCCCAAGTTATTAAAAAATGTGCTGACATCTTTATGCTTTAAAGCAAGGTCTTGAAATGTGGTAGAAGTGTGGTAGATTTTCCCAATGTTCCAAATTATAAGACTCAAAAATGTCTTGTGTGTTAGACTGGTAAGGCTTGTTACTGCTCAGCAACTTGAGTTTCCAGAGCTTCTCTCTGTGCTGAACASACTCCATCCTCTGATTCCTGAGCTYAGTCTGTRCAGTACTCTGTGGTGCTGCCACTTTGTTTAACATGAAGAAATAAAAAGCRGAGCCTGACTTGAATTTGAGGAAATTTGAATGGAGAGGAGGAGGGCAAAAGCTCAAGCAGCTGCAGATAGGGTGGGTTCTCCATAGGATCCCTCCTTCTTTCAGTGTATAAGATGCTTGGTGTAATGGGGACAGATGAAGATTGTGTATCAACCACAGTCCTCATCAGTAATCAGGATCCATTCCACATGTGTTGCAGACGTGGGGAAGTTTGGGAAGTATGTGTTGCTTCAGACAATGAATTTTTAATTAGAATATCAGAAGGTATGTACATGATAAGACGTGGTTGCGTAGGAAATCTTTATTCCTGATGTTGTTCCCTAACTTTGTGGAGAATAGCCTGCAAAAATGTTTTTTCAGTCACTGTGGTGTCTAATGTAAGTATTCATAAGTGTACTTTGTGTGTTATGGAGTTATACATCATGGAACAATGAGAAAAAATCCTAGAGGGGAAGTAATTGGCCTCCAGGCCATGTCAGCTCGAAACTGTAGCAAGCTTGGTGGATATTTGTTTTATCAACTATAAGAAAACTCGAAGAGATGGCGGGTCTCCAATTTTTTTTTAACATTTTATTTATATTTCTATTTATTCTTACTATTTAAAAGCTTATTCCAATGTCTGAGCTACAGGTTTCCTGCTGCAGCTGCCTCATGAATTGTCCACAGGATACAGARCAGGTTATTTCTTTCCTCTTGCAATGACTTATGCATTTGTGTACTCTAACTATGTTTGCTCCCATGTTATTCAAATCAAATAATTATGTTATATTCTTTATCCACTTAAGTTATGWTTTTTAGAAGTTTTTTCTTTTGCTTTTGATCTCTTCAGTTGGTCTAGGTCCTTCTTGAAGTGCAATGCTCAATTCTGGAATCCATTTTTCAGCAGAGGCCTACTAACGACATGTTAAAAAAGGAGTATTTCACAACCTGTATCACTGCCTGCAGATATTTGTGGTGCAATTTCAGCAAAATYGCAAAAAAAATTTAAGTGGCTCTATCCTTTTCCTTTAATGTAAAACTGTATTAATTTAAATGCTGTATGCCCTGACAAAGACTTTTTGCTTAGTCTGAATTATCTTTTTTTTTTCTGATTACAAGTAATAGGAACATTTTCCTAATGTTAAAATTATCTTTGAGGAAAATAAAACAAAATAAAGTTTCTAAGGCATGGGGCAAAAACAAAACTAAAGAAAAACCTACAGAATTGTTAAAATATTATTGTGTCTTTTTTTTTCCCCACAGTAAACCAAAGCCTTTCAACAAAAATATGATTTCTTTGGACTAAGTTGTTTATAAAATAAATTAATAAACATTGAACTAAAACAAACAAAACTCATGCACAAAACTAATCCTCACATTCTGACCAGTTTAGACCAGTAGGGATTTTCTTGATTTATTTGTGATAGAACATTTATATGTGTATCTGCCTTTTAATGTCAGCGATGTCCCCGATTTAGCACAGCCATTACAGGCTCAGTGTTTGTGCAAAAGCCTTCCTTACGCCTTCCCTTTGGAGTCAGCTTGAAAGAACACATMTGAAAGTGCATTTTACAGGGCCTTGTCTTCTCCTTCTATAGATCAGTCCTGCTTTGAGATTGGAGAAGAGCAAAATCAAAGTGTTAAAATATCTGCATGCAAGTTTGTCAAGGAAGGGGTTAAAAAAGTGGAATCTTTGTGACTGTAAAGGGCTGAATTATCTTCCTGACACCAGCAGGGGTTGCTGTCACTAGTTTGTGGTTGTCACATTCCTGTTATGCTTGACCTTGGAAAGGCTTGACAACATAGTCTGGATTTGATTAAGGGAATTTCATGTTTTTCCTTTGCTAGAGTCACCCCCCACCTCGACAAACATTTAAAAATGTTAAGAAGTAAAAAAAAAAAAAGTTTGGAAAGCAAACATTTTCCCAAAAGAAATTTATAGTTCAAATTTACACCAAGTTCGCACTAACTGGAGCAGTCCGGGTTTCCAGTCAGGCTTTGAGAGCTCTCTGTAAACCATTAGTCACTTCCCTGGAAGAGGCAGCTTTTTATAGGCAGCAGGATAAAACAGACACAGATGTGTAAGTAATATTAGAGGCTTTCACATGTACCTGCCTTTTTTTTCTCTGTCATAGAAAAGAAAAAAGAGTGATTATAGAAAGAAATTGATTAAAGCCTTGGACTTGAACAGCTACCATGGAGATTAGTTAAATTAAAATATCTTGTGTTTTTTTCTAAGAGTGACAATTTATATCATGAAGATGGAAGTTCTTTTAATTTTATCACATTGGTTTTTTTTTTTCATTCTACAGGACTGTGATTATGCCAGCTGCCAACGAGTTTGATCCTGAAATTGTCCTGGTGTCAGCAGGATTCGATGCTGTGGAAGGCCATGACCCTCCGCTGGGYGGGTACAAAGTCACAGCTAAATGTAAGTATCACCATTGGCACGTGTTTCTGAGTTGGTGTTTTTTCTAGTTATAAACCTTATAATAAGTCCAGTTCACACTGATGTTTCTGTTTTGTGAGATGACAGCTGTGCCACCGAGGGCAGGGACTGTCCTGCAGTTAATMGCCAGAGATGCCTGGAGAGCTGCAGCACTTTCCCAACACACGGACAGGGTGGAAATGAGCATGTTAGCATTTCTGGCTCACGCCTTTCTGTTCCTCTTGGCATTTTTGTCTTGGCTTTTTAAAGTATTACTTTTCTGGCATTCAAATAGCATTTTAGAGGTTTCATGCTTTTCAATAGGCCCCATTYTCCAAATGCTGGAGTAAGTTACTTCTCTTTAAATATATATTGGAGATTTTAGACTTTGGAAGCCKAAATCCAACCTCATATTGCTCTTTTGTTATTGTAATCTTTTCAGCTCCATGGCATTAATCCTGAATTACATCAGTGTTTATGAAGGCCAAWTTTTTCTAAAAGACTATTCTGTTGGGTCTCAATATTTGGATGTCCATTTCAGTTTTTCAAAGTGTGTGCTTATTCAGTTTTTCAAAGTTTGTGCAGAGATTTAATACTTTCTGAAAGACAGGTCTGCCTGWCATATCTCATATGTAGCTCTCCAAAAACACCAGCTCTTACATGATATTGTGTCCAAACTTTTTCTKTGCCTGGGATGTTAAGCAAGGCTGGGTGATGAAGTAGGACTCTGCAGTAATGTGCATTGTAACATTGCTATATATCAATTGCTTTCCATGGGACAAGACCAAATTGTTTCCTAATGCAATGCTGTGAATAATTTTCTTCAGTATATCTGCTTTTTTTTCAGCATATTCAGTACATAATATAACTTCCATAGTTATTAAATATTGATCTCTGCTGCTGATGGCAAATGCTTTGGTAAAAGTCTGGAGGAGTCAATGAGACCTAATGACGTTTAAAACACTGCACATATGGACTCCAGCTCAGAAAATTTTGTCCTGACCTCTGCCTTTTGTCACAGATCAATAGACCAAAGTTGTTTGCCTCAGGAGGTTCAGGGCAGACATGCATATTTTTAATTTTAACTTTGCCTGCATGCTGGACCCTGAATAGCAGTGACAGTGATGGAGAAACAGAGTGACTGCCATAGTGGTGAGCTGTGGAAAGGGAGAATGCAGGGAGCAGTGCAAGGATCTGCCCAAAGACACTCACACAGGTGCTAATGCACCARTGGGCTGGAAATGGAATATCCCTCTGGCTGCAAGTAAGATATACTGAGTTTTAGCACAGCTTTTCAGCTTAATGCAGTGGCTACACTGGAGAGGAAAGAAACATAGCAGACTGTGTGYATGTTTGAGTATCATTTCCCTGTGTATTATGATTTCTAGTAAAACATTTTGCAGGAAGAGGCGAAAGATATACTCACTGTTTTTTTTCCATGTGTGGTTTCTGGTCAATAGCACCATTCTATCAGCTTGTGTGGGAGGAAGTGAACTTTCAATTGCTACTAAATTAGATATTTTATTGAGAACCATTGTATAACGATCTGTATTTAGCTGTTGAGAAGGTATTCTACATGTCCCTTAAGGGGGATGCTTTGGCATATGTAATATTYTGTCATAGCAATGTCAACAACCTAACTAGAAATTGCAGCAAAGAAAAACTGTCTGACCTTGGAATTAATGTTAGTTTTCATTTATGAGTTATCTAACTGTTCATAACTTTTTTAAAGAAATTTTAATACATTTCTTAATATAGGATGTTGCACATCTACTGCTGCACATGTGTCTGTAAGCAAAATGGTGATTTACAGTAGATGGCTCTTGTTTAAATTAAGAGAAAAGCCAAGATAGACCCCGATAATGATCGTACACCKGAGGGATGAATAAAGCCTTTTTTACAGAGCCAAAGGAATTTATTATTTCCCCAAAACAAAATTCTCCGCATTCCACCATATTATTTTAGAACATAACATACTATATGTGGTATGTCAGAAAATGAGCAGCCAAATAAAAAAAAGGTCCAGAGAAACTTTCATATTAAAGACTGAAATAGATATTTGTGCAAAGTTTTAATATAATTGGTTTGTAACAATTAGAAATTATGCCGTCAACAAGTTTAACCTGTTCATATTCTTTCTTTATAAATCTTTAGCTTTTTGTGTACACTTAATGCATTGATTTTTTTTATTTCTATGACTTCATACAAGCTTTACAAAACAGAGGGAAATTGACCCAAAAGTAGAAAAGATAGATCCTTAGCTACTAACCTTACTGTTAAAGAAGGTTTGGAAGCAACTAGATACTTGATAATGAATTATTTATGTCTTTCCCTCAGTGTGCAATCAAATATAAAAAATTAAAATGTATTAACCATTCAACCTTCCTAAGTTATAAAGTAAAAGCCATTGGATGAAGATGGCAGTTTGGACTAATGACAGCCTTGGAATAACCATATAGCAGGCAATTACACTCAGAAGAAAAAGGTCTACTAGATCTGCAGATTTGAGAAATGTAAATGATAACCTACCTCAATCCAGAATTCTTCTTTTCTATATTTTCATGCAATCTTATTTACTGAGTAATTTCCTTTTCTGATTAGTAAACACACATGTCAGCAACAAAATAATCATATATATTTTTTCAGCTGATTTTAGATCCTTGAGTCTGCTGTGCATGTCAGGATTTCTCACAGTGAGTTGACCCTCAACTCCTCTGGAAGGCTGTAGGGTGGAATCTGGCCAACTGAGATCAGTGATTATTGCAAAGCTTGCAGATATCTCACTTTCTAATTTATCTCTAGTTGTATTACATAATAAGATCACTAATGAACTTTTTTTCCATTGGGAAAAAATGGGGAAATATTTAAAAAAGGTTAGAAAGGAAGTCTGAGTCTTTTGTGTCTTATTGCACTTTTCAAATCACTTTCCCAATTTTTTCAAACTGCCTTTGCAATTTGTCCTCATCTCTCGRTTAGTTTTCCCTAAACTAAGCAATATTTAACAGTTTTACCAGTCTGCAAAACAGATTTATTCGATGCATTGTAGAATTTAGAATGAACATTAACTAAAACATTTGTTTAAACCCCAACTTAGAGGATTTCACAGGCACATTTTTCTTTATGTTGGCTCTTTGTGCCAATCCTGTCTCTTAATGAAGTGCTATGATTTCAAAAGGTGCTTATATAATATACCTGGGTAYACATACACATCTTGAAATATATACTCAAGTCATGTGCATAAACTTTGTGATGGATTTTATATTCTTTTAAGAACAAAAAGGGYTTTAAAGGTTTGCTATGACTGGTGGCATATGGCAGAACTTGCTGCTGCTGGGAAGTTTTCAGTCCTTTGRTACTAGCTACATTCCAAATATCTTAAGGAATATCTTGTAAGGAAAGGCAGGCTTTATTGACAACACTGATGAAAGGCCACCTAGCATAATTAGGAACAGGTGTACTTTGAATTYACAGTCACTTTGCCCTGAAGAAGGTCTTCCACCCAAAAAAGGATTTATGTCAGAAAAGGAGTTTGGTTTTCCAAATAAAAACTTTTTGTCTGCTAAAAATATTATCTTCACTTGCAGACACTTCCTTGCCTGTGGCATTATGCTTTGGGAACTGCACCAAGTTTAACATCAAAAAGTAAAGAGAAGAAAGTGAGGCAAATGTCATTTTAAACTTCTCTGGTAGTACTCTTGGCCCAGGGTCTTGCATCAGTTAAAGGTGCCAACTCTTGCTCAGGAGCTTCTCTAATACTTGGTGCTTTCTGTCAGGGACATTCAGGCAACTTATCTCAGATTTTGCTTTCTGAACCCATTCTGTAATGACTCAAGTTTAACTTCATTAGTTGAAACAGAGGAATACTTTTTATAATTTCAAGTCCATCTTTAGTGCTGGCATGGCTCTGTCCATGTTGCTTGGCTGACTGGTTCCCCAAAATGTAAGGTGAAGTGAGTGCAGCATCTGGAACTCTCATGCACAACTCTTGTGCAAAGTAACCACTGAAGTCCAAAGGGATCCCTTTGTTTAGATTAAGGACTGTAAAAGTCCTTTGAYTTTACTGTAAAAGATAATCAGGTGAGAGGAAAACATGTCTCAGTTCCTGACTAGTCCAACAGTTTCTTTTTAGTATTAGAAATTTATTTTTTTCAATAACACAAATTATCAGCACAGTATCATATGTATTAAAAAATCAGGGTTATATCAAATTTACTTTTTGTGCTGGAGCAATAAAAATGGYATTGACAATAAAAYATAAGAAAAATAATGGTAGAAGAARTAAAGGGARTAAAGGCACTTTATATTTAGAATAGTGAGGAGATGCCCAAACAGTATGAACCAATCTTTCCTGTTATTTTGATAATCCTTAGATGGAACTACTGAAGACAGAACTGACACATTTTGTGTTTTATTTTACAGTTAATTTTTACATCATCTGCTAAAATAGATAATATTATCACACAAYTTGAATTTTGTCTAGTGAACAAGTCTGAGGAAGAGCTGTCAGATCTGGTCATAAATTTGCAATTTGTTAGATCTTGTAAGAGAACTGCTTTTAAATTTAGCTCTGCTTGCTGAAGATCTCCATGTAACATTATCCTGAGGTAAAGTACTTTCTCTTTGTTTTGTAGAACAACCCTTAGAATAATGCTTGCACTAAAGCCACTGAGATCACTTTACTGTTCAAGTAAATATTCTACATAATTGCTCATTAAATTGTGACCATTCCATAAAAAGAATTAAGTAAATAGAGAAGTGTCAAGCAAGAATGAAGACTTTTTTCAAGGTACTTAACTTCCTAAAGCACAGTGTTGGTTAAGGGCTGTGATGATTTACTGGAGTTTTCCTGTTGTTTTACTCTCCTATTCCAAGGATGCTATTTGACACCAGAGTGCAAAATAAAATCAGCAATTAGCAGTAAGAAAGGATACCACTGTGGGCATTTAAAGAGTAAATGATATTTTGTCTGTTGGAATATTTGTAATGARAAGTTGATCCAGTGC